AACTGAGGACACATCAAGTGTTGATTTTAGGATGTCCCAGGACAATAATGGTCCATGTAATTCCTTGGATGTTCAGAACCCAGGGACCACCCATGAAGGCCCTTGCCAACAGACTGAGGAGTCTGATGAACCTGATCAACAGACTGAAGAGTCTGATGAGAGTAAGGCAGATATGAATTTACAATCTGATGATGGTATAGGTCACTCACGACATGAAAGAAAACCCCCATCATATCTTAGTGATTATATTAAAAATGTCCAAATTGGGACGGATCAGGTATCGGGCGATGTTGATTACTGTTATAAGGTATCAGGTTTTCCAGAAACATATCAGGAAGCTATAGAATCTCCTCATGCAGAGCTTTGGAAAGCTGCAATGAGGGAGGAAATGAATTCTCTAAATGAGAATAACACATTTACTTTAACAGCATTGCCAGAGGGTCGGCAAACAGTGGGCGGTAGATGGGTGTACACCATCAAGGAAAGCCCAAGCATGGCTAAAAGATATAAAGCCAGATATGTGGCAAAAGGTTATAGTCAAATAAAAGATATTGACTATCACGAAACTTTTGCTCCAACTGCAAATCTAACAACAATCCGAGCTTTAATGCAAATTGCTGCAAAGCAGGATTTAATTTTACATCAAATGGATGTAAAAACTGCGTATCTCAATGCTCCCATTGATTGCGAGATATACATTGAGCAGGCTGAAGGTTTTGAAACCCCTTCCAATTCTGGAGAGAAATTGGTATATAAGTTGAACAAATCTTTGTATGGTTTGAAGCAATCCGGACGGAATTGGAATAGCATGTTGCATAAGTATTTAATCGAAAACAATTTTGTGCAAAGTAATGTTGATCACTGTTTGTAAATCAAACACATTGATGGCAAACTCGTGATCATACTCGTGTGGGTTGATGATTTGATCATTGCTGCGAGAAATGATATCTTAATGTCTGACACAAAGCAAATGTTGAAAGATAAATTCCACATGAAAGACCTAGGGAGGCTTTCATATTTCTTAGGTATTGATTTTAAGCATTTGGTAAAGCTGCTGGAGAAATTTGAAATGTCTAATTGCAAACCTCGTACTACCCCTCCAGAGCAAAAATTAGAATGTGACGGTGAAAATCTTACTGATCCTAGGAGGTATCGTGAGCTTATTGGTAGTTTGATTTATGCAACGACATGCACTCGACCTGATATATGTTGGATAATAACGACATTATCACAGTATTTGTCGAGACCTCTTAAAGAACATTGGATTGCTGCTAAGCATGTATTGCGATATTTGAAGGGTACTCTTGATTATGAGTTGTGCTACAGGAAGTGTGATGATGATCTTAGGTTGATTGGTTATAGCGATGCTGATTGGGCGTCTTCCACCCACGACAGACGAAGTATTAGTGGGTACTGTTTTAGTTTAACTAAGACTGGGCCTTTGATTTCTTGGAAATCAAAGAAGCAATGTACCGTTGCCCTTTCATCCTGTGAGGCAGAATATATGGCTTTAGCTGCAACAGTACAGGAAGCCTTATACCTAGCGCAATTATTAGATGAGATTATTGAAATTTGTAGTCCAGTTCAGATTTATGACGACAATCAGGGTATGATTGCTTTATCTAAAGATCCTGTCAATCGTCAGAGATCTAAACATATTGATATCCGATATCATTTTATTTGTTCCACCATAAACGCAGGTAAGGTGATTGTAAATTATTGTCCTACTACTGATATGATAGCAGATATAATGACAAAAGCAGCTCGACGTTGCAAATTACAAAAATTTAAAAACTTTATATTTGGCGTTTAAAGCTTATAAACTCTTAATGAGACCAACGTTTAAATTTGTAAAAGGTTGATTATTATAACAATATACCATTGTTGTATTTAGAGTAAAGTAACTTGAGATCAAGTGGGGGTGTTGGATGTGATCTCATTTACATTTTGTTTATATATATATATATATATATATATATATATATATATATATATATATATATATATATATATATATATACATATAGGGTTATCGTTGTAGACCGATGTACAATTAGGGATAATTAATGTAATTGTTTTAGTTTACTGATCTGCACACATGTCATGGCGAATGTAGTTTGAACGTTTTGTGCCGTCAATTAAATACTTATTTAATCCTTAATATATTGCCTCCATCATGAGTCAAGCGCAAAATGCAACAAACAGAGCGTATTAGAAAGTGGGGGGGGGGGGGTTAAGTCATAGTTAAAAGTTCCTGGAAATATTTCTGGTTTATGCTAGATTTCACACATTTTGAGAGAAACCTCAACATAGTCTCTAAAGGTTTGATTCCACAGGCGCTTTTTCTCGGCAAAATGCGAATTATTTCGCTTGTTTCTTTTGAATTGCGACTACTCAAATAAATTATTTCTACTTGATTGCTCACAATTCAAATGAAACATGCAAAATATCTCAATAATAGTGGAATCAGGCTTTAAGGTCATTGTCATAGAAACTATTTGTTATTGCCTGACTTTTATTAATTTTAGCTCCCAAAAAGTAGGGGTGGGGTGGGCAGCCCCTCCTCCAACTCTCTGTGGTGCCTGATTAGACAGAATAAAATAATTATATAGTAGGTATTTTAGTGCTTTGCCAATGAAAGGGTTAATATACAATGCAATCATGTTATTTTTTTCCGTTTTTTTATGGGTTTGTCGCTGACCTGGTGCCATTTCACCTTTTCATACCGGCTGCCAACATTGCCTCTAATCACTGGGAGCAATGTCTCGCTGCGCAGCAATTGTTAGGTCATTATATCCAAACTGCTGAACAGTTGGATTGTCTGACCTCCTTCCTTTCTCTCTTTGGTGTCCAAAATAGTCCTCAAGGACATCCTGCACGAATCTCTGTGAGAACATACTTGAATCCCTCTGACAAGAGAAACTTAATGATGTCAACATGAGCGAAGACAGCGATCTTCAGGCCTTCATAGGTTTGCGGAGACAGAAACATTTTCTGTCTATCATCCAGAGTGTAAGTTCCCTCGCATTCCTCTGTGCTTTTCTTCCAGCTTTCCAGGTAATAAAGGAAGACATCCTTCAACCACGTCAAAACTATAGATCCTACCTTTATGAGCACGGAGGGTACAGATTTAGATTTTTGGCATCCCAAATCTTTAAAGTTCCATCATTTTGTTTAGCGCCTACTGGGTACATGTAAAACGAAGACCTAAATTCATTGTATAATGTAGATAAACAAAATAATGTCTCGAGATAGCCTAAAAGCATTATGAAAAGATAATGATAGTCTTAGAGAACAACTGGAGATCTTATTGAAAGATTTTACGAAGCTTGAACGATCTGTAAATGGACAGGAAAGCACTAAAGTAAACAACAATGTCTTAGTTTGCCAACAACGTGGAGAAGTTGGCACAGAATTAGAAAACGTTTGCGAAAAACAGGAAAACCAGCAAGATATGTCATCGGAAAACCAAAATCTTGCTTACTTTCCTGATCAGCCAATTGGCACAAGATTGAAGAAACCCACAGAAAAGGGAAAAGCTTATCAATTAGAGATTTTGAGCCAAAAACGTCAAACTTGTTACCACAAGTTGTCAAGCCTTACACAAAGGGCATATGAAATACTCGATGCGGAAAACCAAATAAGCACGCTTGAAACCTTAGAAGATATACGTGATGTGCTTGATAAGTCGAAGGAGGAACTTAATCATGCACAAAATAATTTGTATGAATTGCTTAAAAATGAGTCGGAAAGGCGCGAATCTTATAATTGGTTTGACCTTCAAGACCAAGAATTTATGGAATGTAGACTAAGATTAATAGAGCGCATTCAATTGTTGGAGAAAGTTCAAAGTCAAAATAGTATAGCCAAATCAGTGACATCTGGCAAATCTCGTCGCTCAGAAGCGTGGACCGTTATTGCGCATACACATGTAATAGCTCGCACTAAAAAAATTGTTTTTCATTTTGCAAAGATGTATTTTGCTATTTTACCATATATTTTTGCGATGGAAAGAAGCCTGCAGTTTCATGAATTAGTGGCTGTCAACCGTGAAACAACGTTTGAAAGGGATGCATAAACTGATAAACACAAATTTTGTCGAAGACGAACCAGATGTTTTCAATATAAAATTTAATCATTGTCTTGACTCTTGGCTATCTTGGGTAAGTGTCATAAACATTTCAGTATTAAAATTTCATACCGTACTTGCTTTGTGTTTTCGATTTCATTCATATCGGCGAAATTTTTATGCCATTCAACTCAATAAATAATATATTTTTATGCAAGCTGGTATTTACTTGAAAATGTATAAATGTAGTGATTTTACTGTAAATATTGTTTATTTGGGGCAATTAATACAGCATATCGTGTTTTTATGCGTGTTTATAATGGTCTTTTACCTACAGCAAATATGGCTTCACCAAAATATACTAGCTTTTGCTTATATAAAGCAAATATATTTTACCATATTTTCGACCAAACTACTGACTATAGTGTCAACAAAACAAGTGTTTCAGCTTCCCCTGCAGTTCTACGGCAGAGTTTCAAAATGCTTTACCGTTACATTTTACATTAACTTTTAGCCGATTGAAAGCCACATAACATAAAACTACATTCCTTTTAATAACAAATTATGAAAATCAACGATTCTTTTGGTAAAAAATTATCTCCTATTATTTTCTCATATTATTTTCATAATATCATAGCGACTATTATTATTTTGAACATGGAGTACTTCATGTTGAATGGAATTTCTATACTTCCTCTATTAAAAAGGGCGAGGGGTTGCTGCATGCATATATTGCTAGTTTAGATACTAAGCATAACGCTGGCATTCATGATGATCACTCAAAGCCACCAGCACCGCATATTCCTTCATCTTATTTGGCTAAGCCTGTTGACTGTCATAATACTGAGCATAACGCGAAGCCTGAGACTGAAACACTTAATTTACCAAGACCATATGGATACACTCAATCATTGACATTTGGCATCATGCC